AGACATCTCTCCTGTCTGTAATTACTGTAGGGATAAGAGGCTTCTAGTGCACAGAGATGCAGAAAGCTCAGAATGTATTATTTGTTTGCACCAAAACAGGCACCAAAACACAGAGGAACAAATTCTGATCTATTTTGTTTACATTCCTTTTATAATTTTCAGTAGTAGCTCTACACACTAGTAAATAGATTCAGAAGAGAACCTGAACATAATAACATTGAGAAATTTACAGAGTGGAATATTCTGAGACTGTTTTTTTTTTTAGTACATATCGGTGTGCTAGATTTGTAAAAAAAAATGGTTGTACAAAAATGTAAGAAAATTGTATGCTCAATTATAACCTAACAATTGTAATATGTTCTCATATAATGCACTACAATAATTTAAAATTTTATTATTCCGGTGTGACTAACATAAATACCTCATATATTTAATTTCAGATGGGAGATGAAAGAGAAAGAAACTCTGAAAGAGGAAGAAAGAACGATGCTAGAGAAATTACAAAAATATGTCACACCACCTTCTCTTACTTCAGAAGATAAGGAATAATAGAACCTGATAAGGATATCTTTTAGTTATGCATTCTTAATGTCAATTAAATAGATTTTTCTGAAAGAGAGCATTCAAAAACAACAACAACCTCAACTACATAATTTGTACATATTCTATTTTATTGGTATTTTCTAGGAAACAGCTGCATCTTATATTTTATAAATGGGTTTCTTAATTATTTTATAGTAATATTTTGTCATTTGCAAGATGAGAAAAATAGTTTTAACAATTGTTAATATAAATGTAAATTGCATAATATACTAAAATCTATAGTAGAATCCATACATACTTTAAATCTGTTACATTTACCACTTTTTGAATAGTTAGAAAGCATATCTTAAACATGAACCTTTTCTTGTTTCTTCTATGTTTTTAGCTAAATATCACTATTCTAAGTTCTTTTCTGAGTATTTTCTAGATAGCTGCATATGTATTGGAAGCAAAAATAGAAATGACAGATGAATTGCTTTGCTTGATTTGCTGGCATTACCATTACAGTAGTCCTTGTTTAGCAACCATTCAGAGTTATCGGAGTGATAAAAAGTAACTTTCTGATTAATGTTCACATTTACAACCTTTACAGATCTGTAAAGCAAAGGAAAGATGAAGTACAAACATAAGCACATTCAGTTTCACTTAGCAACTGCTTCATTTAGCAACCATTGCTAGTCTCGGTTGTAGTTCCCTAAACAAAGACTATCAGCATAGTTAGATTCACACATTTCTTTTTACATATAGTCTTCAACATACAACCATTCATTTGAACCATTCAAAGTTGCAATAGTACTGACAGTACTATTTCCACTATCTCTGTGGTCAGCTGATCAAAATTTGGTTGCTTGACAACCAGTTTGTATTTACAATGGTTGCAGCATCTCAGGGTCATATGCTTCCCATTTGTGACCTTCCCAGCCAGCTTCTAACATGGAAAGACAATGGAGGTAGACAAATTCATTTAACAACTATGATAAAAAATGGTGATAACGTTGATTATGACTCAGTTATGCTGCTAATTGTGGTCATAAGTCGAGAGCTATATCTTATGTTTATGTGCCTATGTGTTATTTTTTTCTGTATTTTTAAAGAACACAAAGGATAAAACAGAAAATATCACAATCCACCTTTTCATCATATTGAAGTAATATGCATTTCAGATACTACCAAGATGTACATCTCATAATTGGAAGAAATTTCTGCTTATAGTGGCGTCCAAGATAGCGGCTAGATACACCTTGGCCTTATTGGGAAGAAGATCTGAATTTGAGTTTTCTTCTCATGACAAAGTGACACTTTGTAGTAATTCTTATTTGATAATGGCTGCTACTGGCATTTTAAAAAATCATCAAAATCAGCTTCTAGATAACAATAATTTTAAAACTATCAAAACTCTACAAAATGAATATAATTTACATAGAAATGGCAGTTAAAACTCCACACTGCTCAGCCTTGATGTCCTTCTGACCTTAGAAACTGCAGAGATTTTAAAGTTATTGGAGATGGCCTTTATGGAACTCTAAGCCAATAATTGATTATTAACATAAATTAAATATTTCAGATATATATTTGAACAATATCCTGGAAATTTGGAATATCAATTTGGAGTATTTTATACAAACAAACAAAAGGCTCCCTGTTTTAAAGAATACAGATAGTCTTTGATTAACAATGGCAATTGTGACAGGGATTTCCATGACTAAAAATACTTTAATAAACAGCGATGTCCCATGAGTATGCCACTTAGCAATGGAAATTACAGTTCTGTATAGGAACTGTAGCAGTTTTTTTAGGTTCAAAAAGTTTCAAAGCAGTTGGCATATACTAGAGGTTTCTAGATAAAAAGACCAAAATCCTCCTGAAATCTCTTGAGCATTGAGATAATATCCAATATAAAAGTATCAATTCTCTGAATCTGAAGCACAAAACCCAAGTACTTAAACAAGGTGGTTGTTCTATTTTGTGTTATTTGAGAGTTGAGTATACTTTTTTGAAGTCCCTCAGAAATTGCACACACATCATATTCTCAAGGTTTATTTATAATGAATGTTCCCTACAGAAGTGAACCTGTACTCCCACAGCGCTCTGAAGACTTTCCAGGCTAAGATAATATGAAACAGGATGTGCACAAAACAATATACAGATCCATTAGCCAGGAGGATGAAACTTCCCAAATGAAAACCACTTAAAGCCATAAAAACATAATCTGTAGAAGAGCAGACTCAATTTGATGGGAGCAGGAAAGAAGTGCCTTTTTGAGTAACTCTTTTCAGTAACAAGGAGTGCCTTTGATTAATGTTTCTAGTTTTTTGAAGTAACAGGCAAGAATATAAAATTCTGATTAAAAACTGGTCCAAACTGCCCAGAGACAAGAATTACCCAGAGTTGAACTTTAAGCATCTGAAAACTGAAACCTACTGAATGTAATTGGTCATTAGCAAGATCATGCTAATAATATGGGATGATATGAACTACATATAAAGTTACTGAGCAAGCACACTATATCACAGACTCGTGGTGGGGAACCTATGGCATGCGTGCTGGAAGTGGCACACAGAGCCATTACTGCCGGCACACGAGCCCTCGCCCAGAAAAGGTCTACTGCGCACACACCGCCCACCCACCAACTGATTGTCGGGTATCTGGCACACATGCGTGGCAGCATGGTGGCGCATGAGAGATATGCATGTCTGTGCAGCACACAGCAAATGGGGGCGTCGTGTACATGCACAGAAGCATGCAGCATGGTCGCATGGGTTACGCTTGCATGTGCAAAAGCACACAGTGAGGTCGTATGGGTCATATACGCATATGCAGGGGGCATGGGGAGGCGCACGCATTGCCTTCTGGGTGATGGCACGTGAGCATGAGCGCACAAGTGCGCACGCAATTATCAGCACAGGAGCCCAAAAAGGTTAGCCACCATTGTCACAGACGAATTAAATTATGCTGACCAATGGTAGAACACATTCCAAACCCAATATATATGAACAATATATAGTGATTTTTCCCTTTGAAGAAGCCTCTCATCTTGCATCCAGTGGGGATTTCTTTTACTTATACATAAATAAATAGATATTAATATACCTTTCCATCTCAAATCCTATTTTGGCAAAGCCACACCAGGCTAATGACCTTTAACAAATTTTCTTAGAAAATTTTCTTTGCAGCCTCCATAGTTAGATTACCAGATCTCCAGTCAAATGGCAAAGTCATGTCTTCAGAATCTTGGGAAGGCCAGCAGGTTTGGGACCAATCTGACTTCAGGGTGAATGATATTCCAAAGAGCAGGTGCAATGGCTGAAGACTTCTCCTGGGTCCTGTCATATGATATTCCTTTGTGGATAGGACCCACATGCCCTTCCAGAAGGGACGTGATTGGAGAGGGGCAGTCCCTCATAACCCAGCTCATGACATGTAGGGCTTTGCAGATCATTACCAGCATCTTGAATTGAACCTGGAAGCAAACTGATAACCAAAGTAGCTTGCAGAATAGAGGTGTCATGTGTGCTGATATACAGGCACATATAAATGCCCATGCCACTAATAGTTTGTACCAGCTGAAGCTTCTTGATGTTCTTCAAGGGCAGAAGTGTAATCCATGTGAGAGGTGACCAGGGACTTAGTTACTGAGCGTAGGGCTTCCAGATCTAGAAATGGATGCAACTGGTGCACAATTTGAAGTCATGCAAAGGGCAAAGACTATCTAGTCACAACTGCCATCTGCTCATAAAGTCCAGAAGACTCTAGATTGTGCAGCTCACACCATGCCTTCAAAGGACTTCACCCCTCAGTCAAGCAGATGTTAAGCAGGAATGGAGAAAGAACTTGTGGCTCCACACAATCTGAAGTTTCATCTCCGAACTCAGCATTTTTCATTCCTAGTTCTTTCTGGACTCGCCAACAATCACAGAGTCCACTTGCCAGCTTCACTTTACGCTGTGTTCTGATTTGCAACTATGACTAGTCAATAAGCCACGGCTAGGCAAACTAGGATTTGTTTCAGCTAAGTCTATCAGATCTCGGCTGCAAAAAAGCGGCTGACCGCCAGACGGCAGTAAAAAAAAACAAAAAACCCAGGTCTTTCTTTGCCATTTCACTGCCGCCTAGCGGTTGACCGTGTTTCTGCAGTCCAGATTCCCCAAGATTTTGCACGCCGCGTAAACTCCGCCAAAAGGAAAGCACTTCCGATCCCTGATGCATCAGTTCTAGCCAGCTGTCAGTCACTTTTTTTTCTGGGGTACCGAATGTAATGATGGGGGGGGTGTCTCAGAAAACACGCATAACCTTCAAACACTACTCAGCCCTCGCCCCCCCCAGAGCAGGATTCTGCGCGGGAAGACCCGCGGGGGGACGCTGAGCATTTTTAAGCCGCATCCCCGCACTTTCCAATTGAGGGGGGGGGGGGGAGGGAGGGAAGCGCGAGCAAGAGGGCGGAAAGCGCGAACTCTCCGGCTTGTGCTCCGTTCGCGTCACCGGAACCGGAACCGGGGTTCGACATTTTTTGGGGGAGGAAAGGGGAGGAACGGAAAAGGCGGGATAAGCCAAAGCCAAACAGTAACGAGGAGAAGCGGCGGTGCGTCTCTCGGTAACAGTTTTTGCCCCGCCCCCTTTCCCGGAACTGCAGGTACGTGTAGCCGCTGCGCTTTGCTTTTTGCGTACGCCGACGGCAGGCAGGGCCCTTTAACCCCTCCGATCGGGCGATGTCAAGCTCTCTCGACCCACCCGCACCCCCTCCTCAGGTGTGCGGGTTGAGCGTGAGGAGGGACGGGCGGCGCAGGAGAAGGAACCTTCCCTCCACTTCTGCTCTGCGTCCTTGGCCTTAAAACGTGCCAGGGAAGCGGAGGGCTCCGCGGAGAATTTCGCTTTCCCTCCCTTTCGTCTCCTCTGCCGGCGCTATCGACGGGCGCGGCGATGGTTACCTGCCGAGGAGAGGAGGAGAAAGCCCCTGGGGCGGGGGCGTCCCCGTGTCCCTTTTTTTGGGGGGGGGGAGGTGTCGCCTGTCACAAACGGGAAGTACAAGCGGGCGTATCCTCGAGAATCGCAGGAATTTGCTTGTCCTTCCCACTCTAGTGGCGCGCGTTTTCGAGATGCTTTTTCTGGGTCTCTTGAGAGATCGAACCTGGCCTCCCAGGAGTGTCCCAAAATCAGGCCCTTAAGAGATGACTCGGCTTGAACGAAAGAAAGGAAAAGGGAAAAGAAAAGAAAAAAGCTGCGTACCTGGATTGGGGTGTCTGATCAGTTTTGTTGTACTCAACACGGGCAGGCGTTTGTGTTTGAGCCCGAACTGGAGGTTTTAAAAGTGCCAGAATGACAACGATCCGGATTTCCCCGCAGAATAATAACAGATTTAACAGATAATCAGAGTTGGAAGGGACCTTGTAGGTCATCTAGTCCAACCCCCCGCCCAAGCGGGAGACCCTACACCATTTCTGACAAATGGCAGTCCAATCTCTTCTTGAAAGTCTCAAGTGATGGCGCTCCCACAACTTCCAAGGACAAGCTGTTCCATTGGTTGATTGCTCTGTCAGAAAGTTTCTCCTTATTTCCAGGTGAAATCTCTCCTTGTTCAGTTTCCATCCATTATTCCTTGTCTGGCCTACAGGCGCTTTAGAAAATAGCTTGACCCCTTCCTCCCTGTGGCAGCCCCTCAAATATCGGAAGACTGCTATCATGTTTCCCCTGGTCCTTCTCTTTTATTAGATTAGCCAAGCCCAGTTCCTGTAACCATTCTTCATATGTTTTAGTCTCCAGTCCCCTCATCATCCTAGTTCTTCTTCTCTGTACTTTTTCTAGAGTCTCAACATCTTTTTTATAATGTGGTGACCAAAACTGGATGCAGTACTCTAGGTGTGGTCTTACTAAGGCTTTATAGAGAGGTATTAGTACCTCCCTTGATCTTGATTGTATCCCTCTGTTAATACAACTTAGGTTTGCATTAGCTTTTTTGGCTGCTGCTGCACACTGCATATAACAATAGCACCTTGTTAGTTCAGTCACTAACAAGGTTCACTCATGGGTTTTTTTTAGTAGATTCCCCAGAGTTCCTCACTGAGAGGTCATATTCGCCAACGTATATTAATGGTGGTGTAATAAAGTGTTCTGTTCCTAATGCAACTTGCAAAATAGTAATTAAAAGTAGGGTAATGATCTTCTGCACTAATATCAATGCAGTTGCTATGGAAACCAGTTGTGATTCTGCAGGATTCTATCTGAGATCTGTTTACCATTATTTACTTAATCTAATTGTTGGGATTCACAAAAAATGCAGACTGATTCACTGACCGTATTCTAAAAGTAGATTGTGAAAACTGAACTAGAATGTCCACCTTGTAAAAAAAAACACTATAGCTCTTCTTGAACAGTGAAACATAGGGTTGGGTGCATCATTGATAACTATTGGATTATGCTTTTTTTCTTCAATATGACAATAGAGAACAAAGAACAGTCCATTCTATAATGTCACATGATCATTTTACCTAGTGCATTCTTCTCCAGCCTGGCATCCTTCAAAGTTATTGGACTGTATTCTTGTGAACCCAGACATTACTTTCAGCATCTGTGGTGATAACAGATCACAGATTCACTTTAGAACCATATTATTAACTTAACAACTGCAGTGATTCATTTAATAGCTGTGTCAAGAAAGGTTATAAAATGGGGCAAAATTTACTTAATAACTGTTGCTTAACAACAAAAATGTTGGGCTCATAAGTCGAAGACTACCTGTATATGTGTTGTTGTAACAAGAGGACACAACAATGTAACAGTGTAAAATATATAAAAATAAATAAAAGCGTAAAATGTAACAAAGCAAAATAAGGAAACAAAATGCTGATGTATAAATGTTAATGCCTTTTCCCATGAAGCATTGGTAATATTAATTAGATATTGGGGAGAAGCTTTTATGATTTTTTTTATAGTACAGTAATAGTGTCACGATGAAAGTTAACATAACTATTCTGCAGTTTCATCTTTATTGCTAACTCTTTCAAGAAGCCCATCTGATGTTCTATCTGTTCCACGGTTCCCAGAGAAACTAGGGAAAAGTCTGTTACACTGATTCCCAGTGTTATAATGGGAAAAAATAAAACTTTGCAAGGTGCAGTTCGTGCAGTCTTTCTATTTTCTTATAATGCCACAAAGTACAAGGTGTAATAGAAAGTAACCCTACATAGATCTACATATAAATAGCAGGGTGCATCTTTATTGATATTTCAATGCCAAGTTTCTTGCAAAGATTTTGACTCTTCTTATGGTGACATATCTATTCAATATTAAATCATGAAATTGTGTGCATCTTTTTAAAGGTAGTCCTTCGGTTATCACAACAATTGGGACCTAGATTATTACTAAGTAATGTGTTTGTGAAGTGCAATGTCGTATGTCCACATTGCTTAGCGATAGCAATCCCACCAGTCCCAGTTACCATCATAATGTTAGGACTACGGGGTTGTTAAGAAGCAAGAGGTATAATGGTCTTTGGGAATGACCTTGGGAGATGGAGCAAAGAATGCTGCCTAGGAACAGTCAGATAAGAGGCAGCATAGCCCACAACTGCATAATGGGCAGAGCAAGATTTTCTCAGGCTATAAAGGTGATGGTGGGAGAATTGTACTTTCAGACTTGCAAGATTCTATTAATGTAGCTTTAGAATAAAGTAGAATTAGCTTCTGTTTCTGTTTCCTGCCTGGTTTACCTTGTGAGGTTGCTAGTAGGAGTCCTAGGTTAGGAATGCAGTGTGCGGGCTCCTACAGGTGATGCTACATGTAGGTGGGCTAGTGAGGACTTCAGATGGGTACTACAGGGTGAAACTAGGCCAGCAAGGACTGTAGGTGGGTGCTGAGGTGCTGGCAAGTTCTGTGGGTGGGTAGGTGCTGTTCTCAAAGAGTATCGTTATCTAATTTGTTCTTTTAATCTTCATCCTTCCTGTTGATAGTTTTCTATTAGTATGAATGCATGTTGAATTTGGGGGAGGAAGAAGATAATCTTGATGTACCAGGAAAAGATATTTGACAATAAGCACTGCAGATCCGTGGACTTAAAAGTGATTGAGAATCAAGCAGATTTAATCTGATATATCAGCAAAAGAGACTACAGAGACAGGCAAATTACAATGATGAATATTTTTTTAAGTAGTAAGTTGTAGACTGTAAAAATAATAAATTATTTACGTGAGAAATATGGGAAGTTTTTTATCAGGGCAACCTGGACTACCCAATTATGGGACGGAGCATGCTGCTCCGCTTTAAATTCACAAAAATATGAAAAGTGAGTTTGCAAAACTTGAAGCTGTTGTCATCCCAATCATAATAGACCCTCAAGCTCTAAATACTAGATTACAGATTAATAATTATTTCTGTGTTACTTCTAGTATATTATATGACCATCTTATTTGATTAAGAGGTTCTTTAAAAATTAATTATATGCTTAAGAAATGAAGACAGATGACCAAAGACAGAGAATTTTGGGGAATGGGATAAAAATTCATGCTGACTGTTACTGATTTAGTTGAAAAAACTGCCAAAAGTTTTGGCAAAGATGGAGAGCAAAGGCAACTAAGTATATCTGCAAATCAAATTTGGAATGGAAAAGAAAGTGCAAAATCCCTTAAATTAAGAATTATTGTTAGGGAGGATATCTAGAATTATATCCTATGAGATACGTTTTATGACAAATGTTGAAAAGAAGAACGGAGAATGAAGAGGGAAGAGGGAAGGGAAAAGAAGGAAGGGAAAGGCAGGCAGGCAGGCAGGAGATTGTAATGAGAGGGAGGGTGTGAGGGAAGTCCTGTCTTACTACTTGGCTACCAGCAGACTTTCTGGAGTCATATTATTTATTTGTTTATTGACCAACACTTCCATTCTAGCACCTTTTTTCAGATTATGATGATTTAAAAAAACTTTGATTTCTGTAATGATTTTTTCTAGTCAGGATATTTTGGGAAAATAAACTTAGCATTCCAATTTATTATTATTTTTCAGCTTATCACCTCCAGATTGATGCATGTTTTCATCATTGCCTTAAGCTTGCTGAGAGTTTGGATAAATATGGCGCAACTCCAACAAGGAGGTCCTGATGAGAAAGAGAAGACTACAGCATTAAAGGGTACAAATTAATTTGGAACTTCTCCATAGGCACTCCGTAGACTGTGTTCTGATGAACTATAATTTTGTGGTTAGTAAAACAGGTGAGCAAGTACAAATGATACAACCCACATTTCTTGGCTGCAATAAATCTCTTACATATATCCATAATCCAGAATTTTTTGTTCTTTGCTTCCAAAAAAGATATATCAGCATGCAACAGGATTGCTGTTAGCTATGATAGACATGCCAATTGGATCTCGTTGATGGCAAAAATCTTATTATGGAAAGAAAAATGCTACAACTTATGCATATTAGTCAACACACAGAAGGAACAAAGTAGTGTGCGGCAAGAGCTTTAAAGAGTAAACAAACAGACCTTAATTGTTTGCAAAAGTTGATGAATTAATGTATTATAATAATTTCAAAATTATTTCAGTGGAAGGACATACAAAATTCCACCATGGCAGCCTGGTTGAATTAGATTTCTGTGTGTGTGTCTGTGTGTGTGTACTGGGAGGAATTGTTGCTTATTTGGTTCACTTTTAGATTTCTTTATTTTTTAATCTGATACAGTTTTGAATCCCTGCTGAACTCTCTTCAACATGCCTGTTTTTCTTACTCTGAACATAAAATGGGATACTATATCCCATTTTATATGCTGTTTTTAGACTTCAGAAATAGAATACCATATAAACGGTCAACCTGTGTATACTATCCTGAATTATGTAGAAAACTGACAGAACACAAATATAATCAATATGCTTCTTGGAGGCAATATTCACCTGATAGCTTCAGACATTTTCACTCTGTAGGAGGCAGGGCAATTGAATTTCCTCACTCTTATAGTGCTGTCTTCTGCACTTTCCCTCAGTCAATTTAGGTGCAAGTTCTGGCTCATGTATTATTGTTATTATTGCAATGGATTTGCCTGATTACTGCTTATCTATGTTTTTTTCAGAAAGAGAATATGTATGTATGTATGTATGTATGCATGCATGCATTCATGTATGTATAAAATTGAAGTTAGGTGGTAAATATTTACATAGATTTGTTTGAATACCGTTCTAAGGATAATTCAAATATACTTAGTGGTTTACCCATTTAGGAAAACACATTTCTCATCTCCAAAATTACTGTGGGTGACTTGCAAATTAAAAAGATAAGCATCACAATATAGTTTTTGAAGGAGAGTATTCTCCTTCTCCTAATGGCCATAGAAGAAAATCTGTGATTCTTTTCCTGGTCAGTAGGTGTTAAGTTGGGATAAAATTAGTCTGTAAACACATACTGTACTTAAAGATGTGTGTATGTAAAGAAAAGTAATGTATCTTAAAGCAGTTCAAATTTAAATTTTCAGGGTAAAAGAAAGCTCTTCTGAGATCATTTGGAAAATAATAAAAATACAAAAGTTAAAGATTTTTGCCCTGACTCCTGCAAACCTAGCAGTTCAAAAGTATACAAATGCAAGTAGATAAATAAGTACCACTTCGTTGGGAAGATAATGTTTCATCATGTGGCCAGCATCTAGTCATGCTGGCTACATGACCATAGAAGGGTCTTTGGACAATGCTGGCTTCCTCAGCTAAGAAACGGATATGAGCACTGCCCCCTAGAGTTGGATATGACTAGACAAGGGAAACCTTTTTCTTTACCTTTAATGTTGAAGTATCTTTTGTTGCTGTTATTAGTCGTAGATTCATCAGGTCAGAAGGGATTTTGGAAGTATTCTAGTCCAGCCTTCTGCCAAAATAGGACGCCTCAAACATTCTAGTCAAATCATTGTTTAACCTTTGTTTGACAATCTCCAGTTAGGGAGCACCAACAGCTTCAGGTGTCTGGTTATTATGTTGCTTTAGAGCTCTCACAATCAACAAATCCCTTAGCTCTCTGTAAAGCTACCATAACTTGTTTTTTGTATACGGAGAATAAATCCAAACTCCCTTCCCTGTGATAGCATTTAAAGAATTGGAAAACTGATATCATGTTTTCCCTTACCCTTCTTTGCTATTAGTTATTTTAATCCTTCTTCATAGAATTTATCTTCCAAGAACTTCACATTCAAGAGCACACTTCGTTGCTCTTCACTGTTGATTCAGCCCAAGACTGCACTTGCTCCTTGGACAGATACAGCACAGTGCTAACTCCTCCTTAACCTGTTGAAACCCTCTTAACAAGTACTATTGAGAAGCCAGGTGATGTCTGTTCTATATTTATACTTTTTAAAAATCTAGTTGAATGCAAAACTTCACATTTATCACGATTGGATAGGATTTTGTTGAATAGGATACATTATTCAAGTCTATCAAGACCTTTTTGAACCCTGAGTGTGAGGTGTTCTCTGCAGATTTGCTGAGTATCCCTCCTATTTTTTATTCTAAGTCATAAAAATGTTGAAGAGCAGTGAGCCTAAGATGAAATCTTTCCATGTACGTATAAATCCATTAAGGAGCATGTATTATGCATGATTGTTTAACCAACGGTGAATCCACCTGGTAATAGGACCATTATTCCATTTTATTAAGAGGCTGTGGCCTAATCCTATCTCAACCCTTACTGAAGTTGTGAAGCTTAGGTGTATTACATCCATAGTAGTTTCTTGGTTTACTAATCTCATTACACTAATCCAAAGAGATTATTTATTTTTAAAATTTCTGAACAGCCCAGAGTTCTTTGACAGGTCCTGCAACATATCTTCCCAGCCTCACCATTTGAGATGGCTAATGTAATGGAACAAAGACAGCTTTATAGATAGCTGGCTCCATGTCATGTAGAGCTTTATAAGTCACAACCTTTGAATTGGATCCAGAAGCAAACTGGCATCCAATACAACTCATAGAGTAGAAGTGTTACGAGAGAGGGAAAGAGAGAGAGAAAGAGAGCGAAAGAGAGAAGAAACAGACAAGAAAGTAAATAAAGAAAAAGGGAAAGAGAAAGGAAGAAAAAGGAAGAAAAGGGATAGACAAAGGGGGTGGGAAAGAAGGGACAGAAAGAAAGAGAGAGAAAGAGAGAGAGGGAATGAGAGAGAAAAGAAAGAGGGAGGGAGGAAAAAGTGAATGGGATATGGAGGGAGGGAGGGAGAGAAAGGGAAAGGAAGGAAGGAAAGAGAAGAAAGAAAGGGAGGGAGGGAGGGAGGGAGGAGAAAGTGAATGGGATATAGAGGGAAGGAGGGTGAGAGAAAGAGGAAAAGAGAGAGAAGGAAGAGGAAAAGAAAAGAGAAAAGGGAAAGATAAAGGGGGAGAGAAAGGAAGAAAAAGGATAGACAAAGAAAGAGGGGAGATGGAAGGAAGGGACAGAAAGAAAGAGAAAGAAAGAAAAAAAGAAGGAAGAGAGAGGGAGGGAGGGAGGGAGGATAAAGTAAATGAGATATCTAGTCCAATCACCTGCTCCAGCAGGGTTAGAAGGGTGTGTGTGTGTGTGTGTGTGTGTGTGTGTGTGTGTGTGTGTGTGTGCATGGCTGTCAAAACTCCCAAAACAGGTCAAGTAGCACTGGGGAGGTCAGACATAAATTAGAACACTTGCTAAGCAACCAGCCATTAAGTGAGGACCACTTATATTTGGTTTGCCAGTCACATGGCCACCTGGCCACGCCCACCTAGTCTCATGACCACCAAACCACGCCCACCCAGTCATGACCACCAAGCCATGCCCAGAAATTGGGCTATGCCCACAGAATCAGTTGTTAAGACATTTGAATCCCACCTCTGGGTGGGGGGCACTGAGGATGAGTTTGTAGCACCAAGGGGGGCGGTGGACTGAAAAAGTTTGGGAACCACTGTGTTACATGATCCTTCTTAGGGTGCCTAAAATTGCCTGTGTGGCCACATTTTCACATTCACATAGATGTTCAAAAGGAGTAGAGCACACAGAACCCTGTGGGACCAAGAACTGGATATCCCTATTAACACTGATTGAGGCCAACCTCAGAGGAAGGAGGTAAACCAGCATATCACTGTGCCACCCACGCCCAACTCCCTAAGTCAACCCAAAGAAATATCATGGTTGATGGTAATGAATGAAGATCATGGATGGATGCGCTAAATCCGTCCTCTCCTGCCAGAGATTATCAATGAGTGAGACCATTGCTGTTTCAGTTCCATATCTGGCCTGAAACCTGACTGATAAAGGGCATAAATAATCTATTTCTTACAGGATTTTCTGGAGTTGCAATGTCAGCATCTTCTCCACCACCTTCCCCAAAAATGGGAGGTAGGTGAGTAGACAAAAATTATCCAGAATGATAGGATTCAGCAATGGCTTCTTGAGCGGGGGCACAACAACACCTTTTAAAAGGAGCAGGAAAACTCCGTCCAACAAGGATTAATTCACCAACACTTGGACATCCATAGGACACCTCCTGGGTGGCCTTAACCAGATAGGAGTAGTATGGATCTAATGGATAGGTAGTGCTGTTTACATTCTGGAGGACCTGTCCACTTCCTCAGGTCAACAGAAGCAAACTGTTCCCAGATAACTAGGTAAATCTGCTCCCTGGGCAGTACTTGTACCATGCTTCATATACAACTGGGAATGAATAAGAGAGATTTTATCCTCCAGATGTATGGAAAATTCTTCCACATAGCCCTGCAGATGGGCCTCTGGGCTTCTTTTCCTGAGAATTGTCCAGGTAAACCCTAAATAGGGCCACTGAGTGGCATTCTGTGGATTACCATGGAGAAGTATTGTGATACGTTGAACATGACCTATTATTAACCAAACCAAGCTGGCTTCTAATAAATATGTTGTTGTTTTCAAGTACTTGCAATATTTTCTTGATTTTTTTTCTCAATTATGGATGTCAGGCTGATTGGTCTGTAATTTCCTGGGTCCACTTTTTTCTCTCTTTAAAAGATTGCAATAATGTTAGTTTTTATCCAGTTCTATGCTATTTCTGCTGTACTCTAGAGTTCTCAATGATTAGTGCCAGTGGTTTTAAGATTATTTCAGGCACATTCTTTAGCACCCTGTGATCCATTACATCCAGCTCCAGCAAGTTGAATGTATTCAAAGCACTTGGATGTTTTGTGTTCCTTGTCTGTTTTGCCCTGCATTTCCCTTGTCTTCCCACCCCAATGCTGCATCTTCTGGCAGGTTGGACCAGTTTTTCCTTTTGCAATAATACAGATGCAAAAGATGATCTTAGTGTGTTGTTATTTATTTGAAGAATAAACTCTGACTGGTCATGAGATTTGATAGAAATGAAACTAAATCAGTTTTCTATAAAACTAATCATACTGGTACTACTGTAGTATATTTCAGGAAATCCCAGCGTTTGTAAATATACCAAATTACGTTTTTAAAGTTGGAAGGACAATTCTAAAATAATTCAGTAGCCTCAAAAAATTGAATGTGGGTTGAAAAAGAAAATTGGGAGATTTGAATTGGCAGCTTCAAAATCTTTTTCAGTGTTGATAGCCTGAAGAAAAACATAACTTGATGGAACTCTGTAGGAACAATATATTGTCAATATTTTTATAGTTTTATTAAACTTAAATGTTTTGTGTATATGGGAAGTTGCTGAATATGTTTGTGATAAATTCTTTTAAAGTTACTATTTTTGTTAAAAGTAATCACTTTGAGGTCTACAGAAAGACTATCTTCTTCCCCACCTTTTTTCCCCCAGACTTGTTGTCTAGAATAGACTTGGATGAACTGATGAAAAAAGATGAACCACCTCTTGAGTTTCCTGATACTCTTGAAGGATTTGAATACACATTTAATGAAAGTAAGTAATAGTTTCAGAAAAAAATCACTTAGAAATAAATATTTTTCCATACCTTACTTTTATAGCTTGGTACTGATTATTCTTTTATAGATGTATCAAATAATTAGTATAAGCAATAATCTGAAATACATTT